CCTGGGCAACAGAGCAAGACTCTGTCTCAAAAAAAAAAAAAAAAAGACACAACACAACCCCATAGAAAAATGCGCAAAAGATGTGAATAGACATTTCATTGAAGAGGTAACATATACGTCCAATAAATATGTAATAAGATGTTCTACTTATTAGTAACTAGGAATATACTAATTATGACCATATTCAGAGATACTTATCAGATTTACACAAATTAAGTAGTCTGATATTATCACACTGAAGAATATGCAGACTAATGGGAAATCTTACATATTCTCATGGTAATGTAAATTGGCACAACCACTCTGGAAAAAACTTAGCACTATCTTGTAAAGTTGAACATTTACTAATCTATTGGCCCAGAAATTCTGCTCCTGGATATAGAAACTCTTGGACATGGGTCCAGTGTCCACATACATAAATGAGAATGCTACTAGCACCACCATTTGATAACAGTGAAAAACAAAAAAACACAGAAGTTCATGATCAAGAGGTGAATATATTGTAACATATTCACAAAATAAAATATTTAATAGCACTGAAAATGAATAAGCTGTAGTTGTAGGCAATAATATGCATAAATTTTAGAAACTAATGTGTAAAAACTGGAAGTCCCATATGACTATGTGAAGAATGATATCACTTTTATTAATATATGTCTCCTAAATAAGTATAAATAAACAATATATTGTTTAGGCATATGTATGTATAGAGCAAAAAAAAATTAAGTGAGAGAATAATAAACACTGTATTTAGTCTAGTAGCTAATTCTTGGGGAGTGAAGGAAGAAGGTATCAGTAGACCCAAATATTGGTCATGCTCTAGATCTTAGGCTGGGTGATGATTTCACACAAATTTATGGTACTGTGCTTTATAGCTTATACATATCCTTTTGTAAGTATCAAATATATTTTTAGAAGGTAATGGAAAAACAACCCTACATTAAAACCTTAAAAATGAAACTCATACCTTCAACAATGCTGGACTTAGCAAGAAATCCTGAAGATGTTTTTAGAGCTCCATTGAATACTACAAAACTTGCACCTGTCACTGATAAAAAAATACAACAGTTATTTATGTTTTAACCTGCTCATTTTTATGTTATATGATATTTGTTAAATGCAGAATGTGGAACATGCACATTTTAAGTGCTCAGTAAATGTTCTACCCATACAACTTACATTAGAAAGCTAACAAAAACCAAACAAAATTAAGATAAAATGCTGTATAAAAATAATTTAATGTTTGTATCTAATAATTGATGGACTATTATACTATTTTAAATGTTTGTGCCTGTGTTAGTGATGGTATAGCAAATCAGACATTCACTACTGGTGAGTGCATATCAGGAGAGTCTTTATGGAACCCTAATGTGACAACTATCTTAAAATTATAAATAAATGTTTTCTTTGACACATCAATTCTACTTCTAGGAATTCATCCTATAGATAGGTTCAAATGTGTACAAAATTGCATATGTACAATGTTATTCACAGTAGCATTTTTATAAAAACCCGAGGACTGGTAAAAACTTATGTCCATTAATAAATAATAGTTAAATGTTCACGTATAAAATGGAAAGTTATATAGAAAACAAAAGCTCTTTATATACTAACATAGAATAATATCCAAGGTGTGTTAACAACAATAACAAAAAAGCAAGGTACAGAATAGAAAAAATGTTATGACTTATCTAAAAAAGTGGAAGAAAGATATTATAATGTATGTGTGTGTAATGTGTGTATGTTAGCTTGAATATACATTGAAGCAAAAATATCTCTGAAAGCATATATAAGAACTGATAACATTGGCTTAGTTTTCTGCAGGGAGAGTAAGAGGATGGCTGGGTGGTCAAGGGAGGAAAGGAGATTTGTCACTATAAATATTTATACCTTTAGAATTTTCTCACATAATTATATACCTATTCAATAAATAAATATTAAAAAATTGTTAAATCTTAATGACAAAAAAGTCAATAACATTAAGTAAAAAAGCATACAGTAAGGGGAAAAAATCCAGTAAAAAATCATCTATTTAACATACATATTAATATAAGAAGGAAAGACAATATAATGCAACAATGGCCATATCTTAGCACTTTGTTCTTTTACTACTTTTTAAAACATATTTTCCAATTTTGCTACAAACGTGAATACATTAGTTTTATAATCAGAGGAAAAAGTTTTATTAGCAGATAGAACGTCGAACTATTTTAAATATGTTATCCTATAATAATGTATTAATTTTATGGAATACTTACTTTTTTTTTTTTTTTTTTGAGACAGAGTCTCACTCTGTTGCCTGGACTAGAGTGCTGTGGCATCAGCCTAGCTCACAGCAACTTCGAACTCCTGGTCTCAAGTGACCCTTCTGCCTCAGCCTCCTGAGTAGCTGGGACTACAGGTATGTGCCACCATGCCCAGCTAATTTTTGCTATATACTTTTAGTTGTCTGGCTAATTTCTTTCTGTTTTTAGTAGAGACGGGGTCTCACTCTTGCTCAGGCTGATCTCAAACTCCTGACCTCGAGCGATCCTCCTGCCTTAGCCTCCCAGAGTGCTAGGATTACAGGAGTGAGCCATTGTGCCCAGCCACTTACTTCCATTTAACTTTCGATTTGTTAGGCCCTCTACTACAAGGATTTGGTAATCACAACAGTCATTAAGGCCATTCAGCCAGACCTGAGAGTAATGTTGCTCACAGATGCTGCTCACTCCACCATCTTTATCATTTTTATATTCCCATACACTTACAGTTTCTAAATCACTTTGTCCTTATCCACCCTGTGCTCCCCCAACTAAGAGGAGTTGGAGCAAATGTGAAAGAAACACCTCATTCCAGAGAGAAATTACTCAAAGAAAGACACCCACACTATGGGATGCACTAAACCTAAAGATATCAAAAACACAGTCTTCTAAGTCTTTAAGCCTAATGTAGCTAGAGAAAAAAACACAAATTAAAAACAATTTTTCAATCTGTTGTTTGTATAGTTGAAATTTTAAAGCATACTATTTTATCACTGTCAATCCAACAAATAAGTAAATATATATATTTTTCCTTTTGAATTGTATTAATGGAAGTTGTTTTATAAATTAGCAGTAGGAACCATGATGCTCACCTTTTCTAGGATGGCCAGTGGCACTGTTGGCCTGTGTGTGATAAACTCCATCATTCTGTATACAGACTAGATGAGAATCTGCTTCTGTACTAAAACTAGCTCCAATGCTAATGACATGCTCGTTAGAAGAATTTATTACTTTCATTACCTGGAAAACAACACCACTTGTTTAGAAACACTTTTAACATTATATGCCTATTCTAAGAGCCACATTCCTGATCAGCTTCATAATTATCAAGCTTTGGTCTGGACAATTTCCTGTGAATGTGATAGAAACAAATGCTTCAAAATAAAACCACCTCAATCAATAGATAGATAAAACAGTAAGAAAAAAGATGAAAAAATAAGATGAAATAAATTACCTATTAGTAAACAAATTCTACAATTTCAAAAACAATATTTATTATCATAATACATTAGATAGCCTAATTCAAAACAGAAAATTTGACACAATTCTAAGGAACTCTAATGTTCAACAACCGTCACTGAAATTTGAATAAAACAATTGTACTTACATCACTGTATTTTTTCCGTGGTATTTTTATGCAGCTTTTTCCCATTTCCATATGAATCAATAGCTGATCTATATTATGCAAGGTATACTGGTAATTTCGAAGGTCCTGTATAAAATAATCATATTTCCATAAACCTTAAACTACTGGCTATGAGCATTTACCTATCCATTAAATCCTTTTTAAAGAGCATCCATCATTTTAAGGTTTCTGATACATAACCAACAAAATGCCACCCAGAAAGCCAATACCAACTTAAAAGAACAACTAATCCTTCTAGCGCCTCCACAACAGTAATAAAGAATACCATTCTCGGGAAGAATTCTATAGCATTTGAGGGTATTCCCACTTCTAGTTACAGATCTTCCAAGATAGAAAAGATCTTCAAACCAGACATGGATAAATAAAAGTGAATCCACTGATATATTTTTCTATGGTAACAGATAAACAGGAAATTATAAAAATTATAGGTGGAAGGGAACCTCAGATATCATCTAATCCAACCCTTCCTATTATAAATGAGGAAACTAAGGCTATAACTTGCTCAAAATCACAAGACTGACTGACTTTACTAACACTTTTACTAAAGCTTCAACAACACTAGAGGTCTATTTAGAGGTCTTACATTACCTAAATATGTAAGAACCACAGCAGAATGAATCAAAAGCCAATGAGAATCATGTATACATAAACGAGAAGATATTATGTTTTAAAAGAGCGATTCATCAAAAACTGTCCATTTATGTTAAATGAATTAGGATTTACTATAAATGAACTTTTCATGATACTAAATATGCCAAATTAAATTAAGAAAATAAAGTATAAAGACACCTTATACTAAATAGTATAAATGCACTTTAATAAAATAGTTCAATTACTCACAACAAGTAAGTTCATAATAGTGTGTCCTATTTCTCCAAAAAGAGGTTTACGGCCTCTGATACTTGTTAGAGGAGCAGGATATGCTATACATAAGAAAGGAAAACTGGTTACTATCAATAAAAACCCAAAAAATTCTTGAATTTATCTTTAATTCTTACTTTTCAAACAAATATTATATATAAATACCACCCAATCAGTTCTTAGGGGAAAGTGAGAAATGGCATTAGCCCTTATTGTGTATCTCCCAGATGCTACACTGAACAGAAAACTTTACATAAATCTCATTTAAATCCAACAACAACCTAATGAGTAAATGTGTCTACATCTATTTCATAAATGAAAAATTTTCTCACTGAGATACAAAAATTAATAAATTTGATCACAGTAACTAAGTTAATAACTGGTGGAACAGATTTGAAACCAGGTTCACCTGATTACAGAGCATTTAATCTTTTCATTATATATGTTGTTTCCACAAAATTATGGGTGGTGGAAAACTACAACAATGGGCTAGGCTCCTATAAAATTCTGATAATTTAAAGAGATAGATATACAAAGATTTAAAGACTTTTAAGGCATTTATAATTAATATCCAATTGTGTTAATTTATGAATAGTAGTAAACTTTTATAGCTCTTGGTTCAGCATGATAAAAGGAACACAGAGTCACAGAAACCCGAGCAGAAAAAGGGAAGGAATGTGGGGTCTGTTACCTAATAATTTTTCTCTTTCTTTAGGGCACTATAAATACTGGACACCAAAAAGAAAGAGGTACCATGCTGGAAATGTAGCAGGCACTCTGAAAGAAAAGGAAGGTAAAATATGGAAGGCAAGACTATTTCTATGATGATAAAGAGCAGACACATTTTTAACCTTCAGTTCTCAGCTTAGGTCATAAGCAAACTAACATCTCTAATACCTATTATAAAAATACACTTCCTGGCTAGGCGTGGTGGCTCACGCCCGTAATCCTAGCACTCTGGGAGGCAGGTGGGAGGATCACTCGAGGTCAGGAGTTCCAGACCAGCCTGAGCAAGAACGAGACCCTGTCTCTACCAAAAATAGAAAGATATTAGCTGGACAACTAAAAATATATAGAAAAAATTAGCTGGGCATGGTGGCGCATGCCTGTAGTCCCAGCTACAAGGGAGGCTAAGGCAGAAGGATTGCTTGAGCCCAGAGTTTGAGGTTGCTGTGAGCTAGGCTGATGCCACGGCACTCTCACCTGGGCAACAGAGTGAGACTCTGTCTTAAAAAAAAAAACCTGATTTTAATGATTTCCCTGAAATTCTTATTTATATTCAATATATTTGAAAATACGTAATTTAACTTACTCTTCTAAAACTTCCCTTTATATTCAGTATATATGTACCTTTATATTAACTTACTATATTCTAAAACTTACCTTTATATTCTGCACCCAATCTCAACATTAAACGCATAGGAAAAACTTTTGCCCACGGAATCTCCAGCTTCTGGATAAGAATTCCACAAAGAAAAGGATTATTTGGTAATGGGAGATCATCAAGTTTCTGAAAAGTAGGTGTAATAAACAGGAATCCTCCATGATCCTTGCTATTGAGAAAACTCTCAGTAAAGGTAATATTGTCCAAGTTTCCTATGTATTTTCCTGGAAATAAAATCATTGATAAGAAGATGTTAAGTTATTTTGCTGCTGTTTTGAAGAAACGTTCTGAGTTTGCATATTTCAATATAAACTTTCTTAAGGCAATGTAGAATTATTTTTTCTTATTTCTACTTTTTTTTAAATTTCCACTCTTAAAGGAGCATCTATGAATATCTTCTGTGCACGAAATTCAGTTACTCCTAGAGATTTTCAGATGTAAGAAAATTATATAGACCCATTAAAAAAATCAAGGAGGCAAATATATTTCCATTTTTTAACTTTAAAAAATCTGTGTATAGACACTAATCACCTAAAATGTTAGATTTAAGAAGACCGAAAATGATTAAGCTATTTTAAGAAATCAGCAATCTCTTCACAAAATAAATCTTTTGTATAGTCTGCATAACCAAAAGCATAAATGCCTTTAACTCATTTATCCATCTCCTAGTTTGAACAGTTCAAAATAAAATGCTTTACCTTTTAGAGCATCCTTATATATGGTGATAAATAGTCTGAAGATGTCCTTAGGAATAGTATCTTCATTTGGCAAACGTAACAATAGAATAACAATTTCTGCCTGTCCCAAGCCATGTAATCCATTGGTAGAGAAGTACCAACATTTGTCTGAGGAATCTTAAGTGATAAAAGCATACAACTATAAATGCCAACTTCTATTAACCAAAACAACTAAAAATAATTGTTTTTGCATGAAGCAAAACTTTTCAAATTCCTTATTTTCCCAAATTCTCCTCATAAAAACTTTAAAATGAATTGTATAAGATTCATATAAAAAAAGAAAAAGGATTATCTTATGGAATTAATCAATAAATAACATTAAAATAAAAGGTGCATTAAATGCTGAAATGTAGTGGGCCAGAATTAGGTTAGTTCCAAAGAGAATGAAAAGCTGATAAATGCACTTTTGAGTAGTGAGGATTATTAATTATTAAGGATTATTTACTTCTTTACTTTTAATTAGGTCACATGTCACTTATTTTAAAACTGTCTTTATTGCTACTAAATCAGGATTCCTGCTTATTTCAATTGCCAAATTTCAATTTATCAAAAAGCTTAAAGCAGATATAATCAATTTTATCATGAGCATCAAAATATAGCTCAGCTATAAGCCCATGACCTTAACCTAAGATTAATGAGGGATGCCAATAAAAATCTGTAAACTCATATTTCAAGTCTTACTGAATATAAATCTGCAAAATTTATTTATAGTCATATCTGGCTGAAAAACCAATATCCAATGCTGCTTATTTTTTACCATTGTCAGTCAAAATCTAACCTGAAGATATAATTGCTTCAGAAATTCTGCTTACCAATTAAGCAAAGAAAGATAAATCATTACTTACAAAATACTAATTTGACATTCACGAGCAGATTAGCATTTAGGACAAATGTAACAGGATGAAACCCTTCGCCTTCAAGAAGCAAAATGATCTGCTTATGAGACGGGTGTTCTTCTACTACAGGCACTAAATGATGAAAGTAATATATTAGTCAGAATAAATATCCTGTTAAATATGCTTACAATGAAAAAATATAAATCCACAATGGCCTGATGGAATTTAAAAACAAAAGCAAACGTGTTTCCTAAAATCAATCAATACCCTGAATAACCGTTAAAAGCTTATTTTTACTTTTCTCTCCATGTAAAAATTAATACTATAACATACATAAATCCCAATATATATTACATGTAGTATATATATTGATTAAACAGCATATTTATACAATTTTATCACTTTCAAAGGTTTTTTTCTCTATTTTTGAAGGTTTAAACCTTCAAAGTTTTAAAACAAATACTTTTGTAAAGTGAATTCCAGTTTGCCAGGTACTCCAATTATAATTTCTGAAATTTCCAAGTCTGTGAAAATAGTCTAGTTATTTATGCTGCTTGCTACCATATGCCTATATCAGTGATAGGAAGCAAAAAAAGATCTTGAAAATCAATAGAAAAACATGCACGCATGTAACGAACAGGGCTTAATGTATTTTTGCTACTATAGCTAGGTTTATAAAATGGCTCTTACTCATAGAACAGAGATCCTAAGCTTTACTCCCCTATATTATCATGCAGAGAATCACCATTTCATGTTTCGGGATGCAACATAATGCCTGGGGTGATAAGTATCTATCCTGAGGAACCACTCTGAAGTGGGAGCTAGCCATAGCATCAATCTCCAGCTTGAAAAGGACCTCAGAGATGATCTAGGTTCTCTTCTTTTCAAAGAAAACTAAGGCCCAAGGAGATTAAATAACATGCTGCAAGTCATATATGTAATAAATAGCGGATAAGGAACTAAAATTTCTAGCTTTGCCATCCAATCTAATACTCTTTTCTTCAGGTACCATGTTCCTGGAAAAAAAAATGATATAGAGTCAAAACTCTAATACAGTGGAAACATTTCTTGGGGCTAAAAGTCTATGAGTTTCCCTATTGTATCAGACTGCCATATTCTAAATCAGGGACACAGATGAAATAAATGAATCATAAAAGTTCCAATCGTTTTAGAATTTGTTTTTAAATAAGACTTTTTGTAAACTAAAGTTACCAGCCCTAGTACATATTACAACCAAACTAAGTTTTAAAAAAATGCATTTCATGTATCACAGACAAAATCCATTAGTACATTCTTTTTAAAAAATTCTCTGTAAATTTAAATAACTGCTATACCTGATCCCTTTTCCGCAGATGCAACCAGAAGTGGGGGCAAACTGTCCTCATCATTAGGTAGAAGACTAATCTTATTGCAAACATACTTGTCAATACCACACAGTAACCTATAATCTGAAATATCAGCAACAGGTAAATTGCTGTTAACTAAGACACCAGTAGGACTAGATGGTTCCTCAGTTTCTACAAAAACATCATCAACTAATGTACAAGAACCAGAAGTAGGTAACCCCTCATTTCCTGTGTTCACAGGCAGTTTTTCCACTGATGGAATCTGAGAAATAGGACTCTGAATTATCTCATTTCTTGTAATATCTTCTATCTCATTGTTTGGCTTTTCCAGTGTAGTAGGATGGGAATGATCCACTGTGTTTACTGTCTGTAAAATACAGAATAAAAAAAGATCAGTTCATATTCTCTGTTCAATTGTGAAATGTTGATCATTATAGCCAAACATATCTTTTTAATAAATAAAATAACTAAAAACCAAAATTGGTTCAGAAATTTTTCTGAAGTCAAATTTCCCAAGAAACCGTACCATTACCATCGTGCTTTAAATTCAGGAGCATAAGGCTTTAGCTTTACTGCATTCTCAGGTAGGTATTAATGACTTTAATATCACAGACTGAAAAAATGAGGCAAAAAGAACTTCAGGATCCTATACCACACCACAGTGAGCAAGCTTAGTTCAACTCAAGTCTCTGCCCTTCTTATGAGAGCCAAAATAGCCTTGGGTGGGTAGGGAGGAGGGAAAAGGGGGAAAGAAGGGGAGAGAAGTCATTCTGCTTCCTAGAAGCAGAATATTAGATATATTCCATAATAGTAACCACCTGGAATAAACTGCTCATCAAGTCAGCTTCAATAAAGCCCCCTTCTTTTTAGACTGGCCAAAATCAATATTAAATGAGAACCATTTATGAACTCAAGTAATATTTATTAGCCTGTTTAGAACTTTCATTTTGTTAAAATATTGATTGACAGTAGGTGCTAACTAAGAAACACACTCTTGATAATTAATGGCTATTTGTCAAATCTAGTTCATGAACTCTTAGTGACAAACGGCATACGTTTATACAGTATGGGAACTCCACCAGAGCTGGTAAGTATCCATCTTGTCTAATGTATGTACCTATGATTAGCCAGGTGACTGGTACAGAGTAGATGCTTAATATCTGTTTAATGAATAAAACATTCCTAATTCATGTAATAATTCTTGCTTCTAGGAGTATTTTGCTACTTTATAATGAGAGTTCATAGTGGTCTGGGATTCCATATTATGTACCTTCTATTTAACACCTAGAATGTTTGTGTAAATACAAACATAAATATCATTATCAGATACTTTCCTGAATGTTTAAAAATCGTTAAATAGGTGGACGCCTTTTTTGGCCTCCACCATCTGCACCCAGATGCTCAAAATAAACAGAAAAGAAAAAGAAAAAAAAAAAGTTAAATAAATATTAGTCTAAATTAAATTACTAAATCTCAGTTACATTTTCCTACACCAGTGCTTTTCAAAACGTGGTCCAGAGACTTGTTTCATATAATTCAATGAAAATAACATATTACAATATACTGAATGTAGAAGCAGATGTGAGAATCTGTCTTCTATTAAGTCAGACATTAAATGCATTTGCAAAAACATAAAACGATGCCATGATTCTCACTAAACTCCTTTATGTTTTGAAAAAATTATTTTTCACAAAAATATTTGTTATTGTAAAGTGTTTATTATTTTCTAATTAATAAATATTTTTTAAATTTCTCAATTTTAACCCGATATAACCTACAGATCTCTGGGGTTCTCAATAACCATTTTAAGAGTAAAAAGGGGTCCAAGACCTGAAGTTTGAGAACCATTCCCTTAAACAGACATTAAGGGTAAAATCTAAAATGTATTCACTACATCAATACATTTCTTATTTTAGGAAGCTCAAAGCATTAAAAAGATAAGTACTCTAACAATCACATAAGGAATTACCTACAAAACAAAATTTTATTAATTAGTTATTTTTTAGATTTCTTACCATAGGCATATCAGGTAAGAGAGGACTAAAGTCTTCAGAACACCTTTTACTTCCAGATGATAATTTTGTTGTATCTGCAACTTCACCATTGGGCAATATACCATCTGCAAACCATACTCTCTTTTGTTCTTTGGAGGCCGGTCCTAGAATCAGTTGAAAAAGTAAAGCATTTTAATTTCGCAATACTACAATGAATTAATACCAAATAGGGCAGGAAATCTGTTCAAAGCTTTTTGCTATCCATTGGCAAGCCTTGAATTCCCAGGGCTGCAAAGGCGTAGAGAAATGGTTTTTTTGTGATTCATCTACTTTGAGTGGAGTCTGTTTCTATCTAATTCATACAAAGGGAGCATTTTAGACGAGACGTGACCCTGGGAATCACATACTCTTTAAAGGAGTAGACCTGAGAGATTACACCTTAGACACTGGGGGAAAACTTAAGGCCTACATTATTGAGGCTAAGTTTTTGAGTGTGGAGACTGAATAAAATTTAGGGATTCAGACACAGGGGCAAAAAGCAGAGTAGATCAGAGCATAGCAGATAAGCAAAAAGAAAAGAATGGAAAGAGAAATAAAAAACCTAAAAAAAGGAAACAGAATCACTTGTACATCATCAGAGGTCATTTCTTACTTTTACTGAACAAGAGAAGCTTACCAGAACATTTTTTGTTCTGGTAATACGAATACTGAGCTTTATTGATATTTCCTTTCAAATTTGGAGGAAATAATTAGATACCAGCATAAATATTTTTCTCTTTTTCTTATAAAGCTTCCACAGAGGAAGGTTATGAAAATCTCTGCCAGATGATTTTAGAACAATGTAAAAAAAAAAAATCAAAGCTTTGATGTCTATTTTCAAAAACATAATAGAGATAACACTGAAAAAATTGGAATTACATATATAGCTTTGCAATATAGGTAGACATATGAAATATCTTTCCTGTATTTGCAATACTTTGTAATTTAATCATTTAGGTTGTCAATATAAAAATACATATTTTTAAACATAAATTTATTCATCTTTAGAGCTACAATATACAGCCATATATGCTGACTCTCCTTATTTTCATTATCATAAATGGAAAATAGTTCCTAAATGATAAACTGAAATCCAAAATAATTGTCAGAAGGATCCAAATTTGCTTTTAACTGACATTTACAGTTATTTTCTTGTATGTTACAGACTTAATAGTTTATGTTTAAAAAATGTACATGAGCTTTACAAGATCCTAAATGATAACAGATTGTAAAAAAGAACAGATAACTCAAAGATTTAAAAATAGATTTTAAAAACATTTTATTATTGTGGTTAAAAATACAATTAAAATAGATTTTTAAGGAAAAGGAGATAGGTCAGTTATTTATTCTCTCTCAAATCCAAGTTCACCCTCTACATTGTGCTCTTTGATGCCAGGTTGGAAGTCTGGAAAATGCAATTCCCAGATTCCCTTGCTAGCTGGCTTTGTTCAGGTTCTGCCAATGGTAGGCATTGGTGGAAGACCAGAAGGTGGGAAGATAACAGAAGTTTCTAGTTCCTGCCAGGATCCTTGCAGCCAGCAGCACCACCAGATATAACTGCTTGTCCCATGATTTTCAGTAATCCTAACATCAAACCTGAACTCTCCTCCAGTCATCTGAGTACCAACTCTGAGGCCCCTTGACGGTTCTAGCATTTGCCACTTTGTGCTTCCCCATAGCCATGCGGTGCTCCAACATTTGACTCCCATGTCTGAGAACCAAGCACCTCCCGGTGGCCCTACACCGAGCCCTAGTAATATTGCCTCTCTTCTTTTGTTCCCCCAACCCCAGCTGTGGTGGTTGCTCCATGCAGTTAGTAATCTCCGAGGCACCTGAGCATGCCCTTTTTGCTCTTTCAGCCTTCCGACATACATGTGTACCAATTTTCTGTATTAAATCCCTCCTGACATCCAGTCTGGTTTCTCTTTCCTGACTAGATCCTGGTTACACTAGAGAACTCCTATTTCAATAATTTATCTTTAGTCTACAACACAGCATTTTCTTCTAGTTACCTTCAGCATTTGGTTGTTTAAGTGCTGAGACTGGCAAAGTTGTAGGTGAAGGTATACTGGATGTGTGGGTCTCCTGAGGAGGCTGGACAGTGGCACACTCATCAGAATGATTAGACTTAAGATTAGAACCAGTTGGACTCATCATCCTTTCAAATGCCTGAGCTATAAAGGGGAAAACAATAGTATTAAAATCTCAGATGTTTTTGAACTTCAAAGTAAATTACAATAAATACCCTATTTTTCAAGTTATAAGGAGAAAGAAATAAATGGCTAAACAAGAAAAAGAAGTGGCACTTGTCAAAGATACTGTCTGAGTAGTTAGCACAGGCTCCTTACTTTATTTGGCAGCACTCCACTTGGATACACTACCAATGAGTTATTTCAATATTATATTTGGTGTATGTGTATGTCTATTATAGAAAATAATCCTTATTTTATATGACTCTGTTTTTGCCCTTGTACCCTTAGAGTCTACTCCTGACATAGTTCAGAGTGATTCTTTCAGACATCAATCATATCTCATCATTCCTCTGTTTAAAATCCTTTAATAGCTTCCTAACTGGAGTGAAAATTTAAGTTGTTACAATGGCTCACAAAACCCTACATAATCTGCATCCCTACCTCCTTCACTTCCCCAGTTACCTTTTTGACCTCATCTCTCACTACAATCCCACTCGCTCTCTATGATCCAGCCACCCAGGCCTCCTTATTCTTCACCAACTTAAGCAAGCAGTCTCCTAGTTTAGGGTCTTTGCTCCTATTATTCCCTTGGCCTAGAATGTTCTTACCTTAGGTACTCACATAGCTTTATTCTCATACTTCCTTCAAGTCCCTGCTCACATGTCAAATTATCATAAAGCCTTACTCTGACCACCTTATAAAAATTACTACCTCTTACCACTAATCTGTTACTATCTCCTTTATGCTTTTAAATTTTCATTTAGGGTATTATCACCATCTGATATTCTCTTTGCTTACTATCCATTCATAAGTTCCATGAGAATAGGGCATCTATTTTGTTCTCAGCTTGAGCTCCGACACAGAATAGTGTCTGAATATTGCTGAAATGATTTTTCATCCAAAAAACAAGGAACAACACTGGTAGCTCTCCCTTCAGCATTTCTCCAAACTGATCTGTTGCTACTGCTAAAATGATCTTCCTCAAGTGCCACTGAATGATGGCACTATTATAAAATGACTTTCACTAACCAAGTGGAATCCAAACATCTTACTCTGGGCTTCAAAATAGTTTCCAACCTGCCCCAAATCTACCTATTGGCATTCACATGCATGTTTCCTTGAAACTTATATAATCTCAGCACAAATTTTTATCCACAATCTCTAGTCAAACTATCTTTTACTTCCGTTCCTTCATGGATTGTGTCTCACAAACCTTGAACCATCTTTCTCCTCTTATTTGATAACATTATTTTAAATGATCACTTCTATCATTTTCAACCCTAAAGTTGATGTTAAAATAACTTTTATTTATGCTTTCTTGTGGTGTACAAATTCATGATAAATAGCATCAAAAATGAAACTATGTGCTATGAGATATCAAAACAAAATAAATTAAAACAGATAAACTCATTCCACAATATCTTCTTTGACAAACCAAAGCTTGATCTCAGTATCCTACTGAGCCCCTTTAATGGCTATATCTTCTCCCCTCCTGAACCCTTATAATCAAAATATGTCTGAATGCTCACCCAAATATATGAACTGTCAACTTAAATAATGTCTCGAATCATGTCTGTTTCATTTTTTTTAAAGTGAGGGAGATAATTATGTGGGAGTTTGCTCTAAAATTTCTGAATTCTAGCAGATTGCCTTGGCTAACAGCACGAGGAGTTATCTAGGCTACTGAAATAACTTAAAAAAAAACAAAACAACCATAAGCACTTAAACTAACCTCTTCATAAACAACGTGGAAATATAAAAAGATTTATACTCTATTATCTTCCAGAGCAGAGGTCAACAGCGTGGAGTAAAAGCAGCTTACCTCAGGCTAACAGACTCACATCAGAGCTTTTTGGAGAATTGCTGAAAAAATTTATCTTCATTCAAAAGAGAAAAACAAATTATTATCAGGTATTTATTCTCCTGTCTAATAGGAAGCAGTGCCTGAGCTAGTGCACAGGTCTGGTCAAAAAAGGCCCAAATAATATTTGCTGGGAATTAAACTGTCAATAAATCTTTGAAAATGCCAATAAGTACTCAAAAGAACAAGCATGGATTTGGGGGGAAAAACACAACATAACACACACACACACACACACATACACACACAACTTGTGAGAACCCAAAGATGACCACCAAGACTATTGCTAATAACTGTAGCTAGCTAGAGAGCCAGAGAAACAATGGGAAGTACACACACACAAAATTCTGAAGTTGAGAAGGGAAAAAAATATATGAGACAAAAATGTGCAAACAGCATGGCAGTCTATGAATTTATAAAATCATAAATATTACTACCTTATCTTTTATTCTCATTTTATGTTGTTATTCTCTAAAGGATAAGAATTACTACCTTGCCTTATGCTATTAATAGATAATATTGAGAACTATTTATTGGTAGATAATTTATAAACGTTTAAGATGAAGAAGATGACAATGATGACGACGAAAACAAATAGGCAGATGAAATGCAGCATTTAGGGACTTGGTACCTGTTAAAAGTTAATGAACTGCCACTCCAGAAATTGAATGCTTCCTTTCCAGACTGGTAGTATTAATTGTGAGAGTGGAACAAAAAGAAGAGAAACCAAGCCTTGGGATGTCCCACCTAAGCCAGATAAGTCAACACTAGGTCCTTGCCTTAAGAAAATAAAGAAGTTTATCTTTGTCACAATCCAATTGTTTTTAAGATATATTCAATTACTGGAAGAAAATATGTCAGGTCAATACCCACCTTTACTAATAGTCTCATAGCAGACTACACATACTCTTGCTTCCTTTTCTAGATATTGTAGTTTACACTTCTTATTACAACAGACACCACAAAATACCTATAAAGAATAAAATATCAAATTTGTTTTTGTTTCAAGTACACTTATACCCACTAGAAGAATGGAGAGGGGAGGTCCTAAACATAATTAACCAAAACTTGCTTTTCTTATTACATAAGTCATTTTCCTAATCACCATAATCATCGGTAGAGTTCATAAATGATTTTTTTTACTTAAATGAGGTTTCTGCAATTTAAAATCAAATCTCTGATAAGGAGAATTTCTTTAAATCAATTCTGTTAATTGGAAAGGGAACAAAAACTTTCTTTAATGGAATAAATTTACAATTTAGAAAGCTTTCTGTAGTTCTTTATTTAAAGTTTCTAAAGCAGAATATTATTTTCCTAAATTAGAATTGATCTGAAACCAACATATTACTGAAAAATTCTAAATAATAGTATTTCTATAGGTAACCCTTAGAGTTTATAGACAATCTTTTTTTCTTTTTTTTTTTTAGTATCAAGCAATAGACATTCTTTTTATCTTGACTGTTATAAGAACGCAAAATAAAATACCAAATTTGAACGCAAATGAGGTCAGCTTTTCAGTGTTTCCCTGGACATACATCACAACACTAGCTGCACAGTGGTCTTGGAATTAAGTATTCAAGGACAAAGGGAGATGCAACTGAATTTAGAATGTGTGATATGTCAATATTAGAGAGATAAGAATACACAGTCTTAAATTTTACAAAAATAAGTATTAAATAATTGTTTCTCATTTCCCAGTATGCAATATCCATGACAATGTAACTTTTATTTAACCATCAAGAAATCTGTAAAATGACAGTGCTTTATATATTTTTATGATTGGTAGTGAGAAGCGCTGATTTCAAACTAACTCAATCTTAGGGGGTAGGGGGGGCAAGGGCAACATACGTAACCTAAACATCTGTATCCCCATAATATGCTGAAATAAAAAAAAACAAAACAAAAAACTAACTCAATCTTGTAATCATCTGTTAATCAGCCTTTTCTGTCATATTAGATTTTGTTTAGAATATCTCAAAAGAATAAAAAACTTAAAGATCTTTATAACTTACTTTCCCACATGCTCGGCAGTGGTGTCGCCGTTTTGTAAAAGTAAATTTGGCTTGGCAGTTCATACAGTTTGGAGCTTCTGAATCAGGAACCCAAGTAGGTTGTTTCTGGCCCAAAACCAAGCCTTCTTTGCAAGTGTTTTCAGGTAGAGAATCTTCATTTGCGGTTACGAAACTGGATCCACCTTCAAAATTACTTTCTATATCAATGTAATTAGAGTCAAAGCTAACCTGAGGATCAGTTGTAGAATCTATATTACAAGTAGTTGAAACAATGGTATTTGCTATGCTGGATTCACTTTCTGGCATATTTGGGACATCCATCTTATTCAGGTCCTTTGAACTCCTTGTTCTTGATGGAAGGCTAAACAATTGCTTTGGTCTGGCCCCTCCAACATGAGTAGATTGACTGTTAGTATCAGAGACTGATAATTCATTTGTAATCTCAGACTTACTGGTAGGTAACTCTTGTTCAATTAGAATTGTGTCTTTGTCCCCTGAAGAAAGGCCACCATTTTCTATTGTATTTTGTTTATCAACTGTTTCACAAATCATAGCAATACCATGACTTTCCCCAGTAGCTCCTACTTCCGCATTGAAATATATATTATTGATGTTTCCATCATCTAAGCCTTTTATATCTGCTTGATTCACTGGCAATTTTGAGTCATTTACATTTTCTTCAAAAGACTTTATGTTAGTGGTGTGAAGATATTGTTCTGTCAGAAAGGCATCAAGTTCAGCATCACTAATTAGTGTGCCACTTTTCGTGCCTTCATCAATATTAAAGTAACCTAAGTCTTGCCCATCTATATCATTGCTTGAAAAAGCGAAACCTTCACAACAACCAGAAGACTCTTGAACATTAGTGTCAGAAAGCTCCACTTTAGATTCTGTAACTGTAGAAGAACTGGTATTATCAGGGTAATCCAAAGAATCAACACTGATTACTGCCTGGTCAGGATTTACCTTTCTATCTTCCATCTTTTCAGTTAATGGCTGAAGAAATATGTTTTTACATTTTTCCTGTTTCAAAAAATCAGTCTCCTTGAATGGTTCCCCAGCTAGAATAATACTCTTCTGTATTTCTTCATGCATGGTCACTGCATCTTTTACATTATCTTTATGTTCATTCTGAGGTAAACAATCACCATGCACTTTACTTTCATTTAATGATTCACACAAAGACCCAGATACTGGAAGACAGGATAACGAGGTCTGTCCATCTTCGCTTGAAACATGTGAAGTTGAAGAGGAACTTTGAATTATGTCATTATTATCTTTAAGGTCTAAATTTCTCGAGTCTTCTTTTGCAGATTGTTTTATAAATGCAGCAGCCTTATCCTCCTGAAAGGAAAAGTCAGGTAATTTGAAATTTTCATGTTTTGAATTTAAATCATTTAAGCATAAACCTTCATTTTTTGGAAGACTGCAAGACAAAGCACTTGAGTCGCCTCCTTCTTTTAAACATTCTGTAGCAGTTACAACTGCCATATTGGCCTCCTCTTTTACCAAACAGCCATCATCTTTTAATAATTCAAATGGTTGGCTCTTGTGTTGTAGATTGTTTTTGGCATCAAACATTTTGGAATTTTGTTGAGTCAAAGCAGATGACATATTAAAATCAACAATTGGTTCTAACTTATTAGAGATCTTTTTATCCTTTAAATTTTCTGTTTCACTGTAATTACAAGAATCTGAAATTGCTGTATCTACTTTTATACCTAATTCTTTGGTTCCACTGACTTCTCTGTTTTGTAATTCAGAGCTGACATCATTCTGTTGTTCTCTGACAATATCATTACCATGGTCTGCTGAAGAAACACAAAGAGTATCCGACACTGAAGATAAATCCAATCCAATCAAAGAATCTGACTTAAAATCATCTGGCAATAATTTTTTAATATCTTCTTCACTATTAGTTGCATGAACTAAGTTACCCATGTCACTTATGAGATCACAGACAGGTTTACTACATCGTCCCATATACAAAGGCTGGATTTCATCTGAAGTACCACCATCCACAGAAGAAAGGAGATCAAGTCCTGTTACATTTTTTTCATTTTGTATAGAAGTTAGTCCCCCAAGTGTTTTATCATTTAGGGAACTCTCATTTGTTTCATAGAATGTATCTGATGAGGCACAGCTATTAATGCATTGTTGGTCCTTTGGTAGCAGTGAAGATAGTGGTGAGAAAGCCAACTCTGAAGAAACTGAGCAGCAGTTAGAATCATATGCATTTTTTGCATCTTGGAGATAATCTTGTTCATCTAATTAAAAACAGAGACACACCATTATTCAGGAGACTCAAGTCAAAAAAAAGTTATTATAAAGATATCACATTTCCTAAGACTTATAAACTAAATAAAATTTTTTTAAAGACCATAGATAGATTACTCTTTTGCAAGATGGAAATAACCTCCAAAACTATTTTTATTTGGCTTTAAAATACTTTTGTTTTTCACTTTTGAATGTAGATGTCAAAAGTGATAGACATTCCGCTCGAAATAACTCAGCTGCGCGATAAAAACTAGACTAAGGAAGAGCTGAAAAACAATCGAGCTTCTTTGTTCTGCCCTCCAGTTTCCTAGTCTTCATTCTGAAGAAAATACCATCTCTCACAGTAATGAAATACTAATTTATGTAGAGCTTTCTAGTTGCTTTTAGCTTGCTCATATACTGGTTTCAAAGGCCTTTCTTACAGCTAATTTGTATCTAGAAAAAACCTTCTAGTTTTCTTCTATCTCTGGCTATTGGTCCCATTCAATATAAGAATAAATTAATGTTATTATTAAATAAATGAACTTTTTATAGAAGATAATAATATGACCAAAATTGAAATCAAATTTTGCTAATATTACTCTATACTTGAAATAAGTGAATTACAGACATTTTAAAATTCCATTAATGGTAAAAATGAAAAACCAACAAACCTGGGTTCTGTTCAAAATCATCAAGGAGTTTGTCCAAGTCACTGACAGCTGCTTTAAAATAACTATCCATCCTACCTGTAGACTTATTCAGAATTTAATTCTTGTATGCCTAGAAAATAAAAAGTATGATATTTCATTTAATTCTATAACACAAATATTATGCCATTTATTTCATACCAGGAAACATGGTCAAGGAATAGGTACAAAAATAAAATTTAAGAATCCTTCTTTAAGGAATCTACAGTTTGGTTTGGGAAACTGCCTCTTATATGTAAAAATGACATGAAAACCAATTCTAACAACATAACATTTGCATATATTAATATAAACTATTACAAACTTTAAAACACTAAATAACTCATGGGTCAAAGAATTCATAATGGAAAGCTAAAACTACTTATAAATACAAAATACCAAATAATATATTAATAAATTATTCTACATATATATAAAATACTGCAGATAGGCCAGGTACAGTGGCTCATGCCTATAATCCTTGTACTCTGGGAGGCCAAGGTGGGAGGATTGCTTGAGCTCAGGAGTTTGAGACCAGTCTGAGTGAGAGTGAGAGCTGGTCTCTACTAAACACAGAAAAATTGTGGTGCACACCTGTAGTCCTAGCTACTCTAGAGGCTGAGGCAGGAGGATTGCTTGAGCCCAGGGACATTGCAGTGAGCTATCATGATGCCTCTGCACTCTACATGGGGCATTAGAGTGAGACTCTGTCTCGAAAAAAAAAGGGGGGGGGGACTGAACGCCCCTCCTCACCCCCCTTCACATTAAAAATAAATAAATAAAAATAAAAAATACTGCATATAAAAACTTGTAGGATTCAGCAAAAGTGGTACTTTAAGGGATACTTAGAGCCTTAGATGCTTATACTACAAAAGAAACAAAATTGAAAACTAATAAGCTAAGAGCAGAAACTAAACAAATAAAAAAAACAAGCACATAAGAGAGAAGTACAAGAAAATTAAAAGTTAGTTTTATGAAAAGATGAATAAAGTAGATGAACCTCTGGTCTAGGGCAGAATCTCCACTAAATAAGCCTGAGAAACCTTGCAGGAATCTATCAATAACTAAGAGGATAATACCAAAAGGACGCATGCCAAATTGAAAGGATTCTCACTGGCTTAAAGGGACAATGGAGCATCAAATGAATGAAAACTGAAAAGGACTGAACAGAAATAAAATAGATTTTAAAAAACCAAGAGATCATAATGACACTAAAAACAAAATATACCACTCATTGGAGGGTTGCTAGAGCACTAACCAATTACTATGAAAATTGATCAATTAAGGGAAAAGAGCCAAGAATTTATCCTGTCCTGTGTTTAGAAAATATACTTTAGAATAATAAAATATTAAATAGTTGCTGAGGGAAAGTTCTTTAGATAAGAATTCAAGTTAATAAATGCAGAGGGATAATAAAATTTTTAAAAACCATCTCTTCATAATCCCTAATGCAATAAATGGATTAGACAATGGCTATAACTGGATATTAAAAATGTTAGAGGAAAACGTTGACAGGAGCTTCATAACGGTGGAATCAGGTCAACACATCTGAATCCAGTGATCGATTTCACCATCATTTAATGTGGAAGAACAGCATCAACTAAAAAATACTCCTGCCTAAAAAAAAAAACTGAACCTGAATCTAATCAAACTTTTAGAACTAACTTCATGTTTACAGGAAATTCAAACATAAGGGAAAAGTTAAATGACATAAAAAGAAAGCAATCAACTAAGCTAATCCAGAAGGTGGAACACTCTACAGCAATGTTCCTCAAACTGTCTATGGTGAATGACTAGTGTTTTTTACACTTCCAATCTTTTACAAACTGTTACTTTTGTAAAACACAATAAAATAATACAAATTTTGTAATAATAAATACAAACATAAAGATATACATATTAAACACATTTGAATGGTTGCCTGGCGTGGGGATTAGGAGTGGGAAATTGAGGATAAAAGACAACAAACAAATGAAAGGGCTTTACAAGAACTAATTATGATTGTGTGCCACGAACTAAGGAAACCTGAGGTCCAGAAAAAAATAAGAGATACTTTAAAGATGGATTAAAAAGATTAGACAGAGCTTAAGAAAGAATTGAATACACTGGAAGATGTATCTAAAGAAATTACCTAAAATAAAGCCCAGAGATAGCAGGAAGAAGAAAATATTAAAAAGAGATTAAGAGACATTGATAGAATGAGAATGGAGTTCCATAAAGAGAAAAGACAGCATGGAACAAGTATATTTAAAAAGACAACGCTAGGGCCGGGCGTGGTGGCTCATGCCCGTAATCCTAGCATTCTGGGAGGCCGAGGCGGGCGGATTGTTTGAGCTCAGGAGTTCGAAACCAGCCTGAGCAAGAGCGAGACCCCGTCTCTACTAAAAATAGAAAGAAATTAATTGAACAACTAAAAATATATAGAAAAAATTAGCCAGGCATGGTGGCACATGCCTGTAGTCCCAGCTACTCGGGAGGCTGAGGCAGGAGGATCGCTTGAGCCCAGGAGTTTGAGGTTGCTGTGAGCTAGGCTGATGCCACGGCACTCTAGCCTGGGCAACAGAGCCAGACTGTCTCAAAAAAAAAGGAATCTGGAGGAAAAGACAATGCATGAAGCAGAAGAAAACTTCAAAGAAACTAATTAATATTCTCAGAGAGGAAAAAATAGCAATGCAACCATGAAACAGGAATAGAAAGCTATAAATAAGGAACACATGAAAAACAAAAAAAAAATCATGGAAATTGATAGAAATCTTAAAATTCAAGTGAGGCTTATGAGATGCAAAGAAAGCAGTATATACAGGTACACTGACAGCATTAAATGCATGAATTGAAAAAGAAAGAAAATTTAAAATTAATAGTCTAAGCTTCCACTTTGGGAAACTAGAAAAAGAAGAGCAATTTAGAGGCCTAAATTTAGAAGAAAAGATAACAAAAATTAGAGCAGAAATCAATACAATTAAAAACAGCAAAACAATAGAGAAAACCAATAACACAAAAAACTAATTCTTTGAAAAGATCAATAAAATTGATAAACCAGGCTAATCAAGAAAAGAGAGACACAAGTTATCAATGTCAGAAATAAGAGAGTCATCGCTACTGATGCCATAGACACTAAAAGGATAATAAAGGAATATTATGAACAACTCTATGCCCACAAACTTGATAATTTAGATGAAATGGACCAATTCCTCAAAAGACATGAACTATCAAAACTCATACAAGGAGAAATAGATAATCCAGAAGCCTGTACCTATTTTCAAAATTGAGTAATTTTCCATAAAATAAATTACCAGGTCCATAGGAATCCACTGGTGAATTTCACCAAACATTTAAGGAAAAAATAATACCAATTCTCCAGAAAAAAAGCAGAGGGAACACTAACTTATATTGTAAGACCAGCATTACCCTAATATCAAAACCAGATAAAGACATTAGAAGAAAAGAAAAGAAAACTACAGGCCAATATTGCCCATGAACAGATATATTTAATATAATAAAAATGCTCAACAAAATAGTAGCAAATTGAATCTAACAATGCATAAAAAGAATTATACCCTATGACCAAATGGGATTTATCCAGGTATGTAAGGCTGGTTCAACATTTAAAAATTAATCAATGTAATCCACAAACTAAAGAATTATTGTGTAATCACATCAATTGATGCAAAACAAGATTTGACAAAATGCAATACCCATTCATGATAAAAATTCTCAGTAAATTATGAGTAGATGGGAGCTTCTTCAGTTTGATAAAGAATATCTACAAAATACCTACAGTTAACGTATACTTAATGATCTTCCCTCAAAGATAGGATCAAGGAAAAGATATCTTCTCTCACCACTTCTATTTAACATAATACTGAAAGCCCTAACTAGTTCAATAAGACAAGACAAGGAAATAAAAGATACAGTGCGTGGAAAGAGAGAAAGAAATAAAATGATCTCTATTTGCAATTACATGATTTCATATGTAGAAAACCCCCAAAAATTGACCAAAAAAAATGGATAAGCAAGTGTAGCAAGTTTGCAGGATATACTGGCAATATATAAAAGTCATTTCCAGGCCGGGCACGGTGGCTCACGCCTGTAATCCTAGCACTTTGGGAGGCCGAGGAGGGCGGATTGTTTGAGATCCGGAGTTCGAGACCAGCCTGAGCAATAGCGAGACCCCGTCTCCACTAAAAATAGAAAGAAATTAATTG